GTGGTAGAGGTAAGGCTTGGGAAAATTTGGGAGAAAGTAGGGGGGAAAAGGGGGTAGAGGAAATTTAAAACAGCGTGGGAGAGGTAAGGGGAGGGGGAAGCCGGGGGGTAGGCTGGGAGTGGAAGCATAGTGGTTTTGAGGCAAAACAGGTTTGTGGAAGAACAGTGGTAGAGGTTTAATGCTGGTAGTGGAAGCAAACAGTTTGGGAAGGTAAGGTGGTTTGTGGAAAAAAGCAGTGTTAGAGGTAAGGGGTGGGAGGGGTAAGCAGTAGTGGGAGGGTAAGGCTGGTTAAATGGAAGCAACCCGTGGTTTGAGGTAAGGCTGGTAGTGGGGAAACGCAGTGGAAAAAGGTTTAAAGGGTGGTTGTTGGGAAACGCAGTGGTAGAGGGAAGGTGGGGTGGAAGCCCGTAGTGGAAAGGTAAGGTGGGAGGGGGAAACGCAGTGGTAGAGGTAAGGTGGTAGGGGGAAACAGCGTGGTAGAGGTAAGGTTTGGGAGTGGGAAACAGCCCGTGGGAGGTTAATCCTGGTAGTTTGGGAGCAGGGGTGGGGAGAGGGAAAGGTTGGGAGTGGAAGCCCGTAAATGGTAGGGTTTAAAGGGTGGTAGTGGAAGCAGTAGTGGGAAAAGGCAAGGGCGGGGTTGTGGAATAGCCAGTGCTTTGAGGGAAAGGGTTTAAAGGGGGAAAAAAGCCCTGGTAGAGGGGAATTTTTGGTAGTTCGAAGAAAATAGTGGGAGAGGTTTAAAGGTTTGGGAGTGGAAGGGAGTTTTGTGGTAGAGGGAAAGGGTTTGGTTGTGGAAAGCGTATTTGGGAGAGGCCAAAAGGGGGGGGAGTGGAAGCAGTAGTGGTAGAGGGGGAAAAACAAAGGGAGTGGAAGCAACAGTGGGTTTGGGGGTAAAGTTTTGGGAGTGGGGAAAAGCAAACAGGGGGGAGAAAGGGAAAGGGTGGTAGGGGGAAAACAGTAAGGTTGAGGGAAGGGGGGGATAGGGAGGTAAGTTTGGGGGGGGGAACCCAGTGGTGGTTTTGAGGTAAGGCTGGTAGTGGGAAAACCCGTAGGGTTGAGGTAAGGGTCGGTAGTGGAAGCAGTAGTGGTAGAGGTTTAAAGGTGGTAGTGGAAAACAAATAGTGGTAGAGGTAAGGCTGGGTTTTGGAAACAGAGTGGTTTTGGAAGGGTTAAAGGTGGTAGTGGGAAAAAAAAGTGGGAGAGGTAAGGTGGGTAAGGGAGGGAGCAAGCAAAAATTAGTAAAAAATGGTTTGAGGTAAGGCTGGTAGTGGATTGCCAGGGGAGTGGTGGAGGGAAGCACATGGGGAAGGGGGCGGATGGAAAACCGCGTGGTTGAGGTAAGGCTTTGGGGAAGTGAAGCAGCAGTGGTAGGGTAAGGGTTTTGTGGAAACAAAGTGGTTTTTAAAAAAAGGCTGGTAGTGGAACAGCAGTGGTTTGAGGTAAGGGGGTAGTTTGGGAAGAAAAGTGGTTAAAAGGTTTTAAAGGGTGGTGTGGAAGCAGTAGTGGTAGAGGTAAGGTGGGTAGTGGAAACAGCAGTGTTAGAAAGGTTTAAGGGTTTGGGAGTGGAAAGGGAGGGAGTGGTAGAGGTAAAGGGGTGGTGTGGAAAACAAGGTAGTGGTTGAGGAAGGTGGGAGTGGAAACAGCAGTGGTTTTGGGGGTAAGGCTGGTGGGGAAAGGGGAGTGGTAGAGGGAAGGGTGGGGAGTGGAAAAACAGAATGGTAGAGGAAGGTTTTAGTGGAAGCAGCGTGGGAAGGTTTAATGGTGGGGACAGTGGTTTTAGGAAGGGGAAGTGGGAAAAGGGGTTTGAGGGAAGCTGGAGTGGAAAAAATTTGGAAGAGGTAAGGGGGGTAACGGGGTGGTAAGGGGGGAAGGGAAACAAAGGGGGGTAGAGGTTTAAAAGGCTGGGGAGTGGAAACAGCAGTGGTTTGGGGGGTAAGGTGATAGGGGGAAAAATTTGTGGTAGAGGTAAGGTGGTAAATGGGAAACATTTTGGGGATAGAGGTTAAAGGGGGTAGTGGAAGCAGCCCCAGTGGTTTGAGGGAAAGGAGGTAGTGGAAGCAAAGTGGTTTGAGGTAGGCTTTGGGAGTGGGGAAAAAAACATTGGGAGAGGTAAGGCCTTTTAGTGGAAGCAATAGTGGTAGAGGTAAGGGGGGTAGTTGGAGCAGTAGTGGTAGAGGTAAGGTAGGTACTTGTAGCAGTAGTGGTAGAGGTAAGGTAGGTACTTGTAGCAGTAGTGGTAGAGGTAAGGCAGGTAGTTGTAGCAGTAGTGGTAGAGGTAAGGTAGGTACTTGTAGCAGTAGTGGTAGAGGTAAGGCAGGTAGTTGTAGCAGTAGTGGTAGAGGTAAGGTAGGTACTTGTAGCAGTAGTGGTAGAGGTAAGGTAGGTACTTGTAGCAGTAGTGGTAGAGGTAAGGCTTGTAGGGGAAGTATTAATGATAATGTGATGTAGGGAGAGAGGTTTGCGGGACAAAAAATAAAAAAAAGGAGGCAAAAGAGAAGGTAGGAGCCAAAGGTAGCAGGGAAAGAGGTACGTATTAGGAGTAGTAGTAGTAGTGAAATTAGTCAAAGGCCATGAAATAGGAGCACTGGAGGAGAGCTAAGAGCCCACAAGGGGTTGAAACCCAAAACAAAAGGGTTGGGGGGTGGATTAAAGGATAAAACACTCACCGCAGAAGAAAGGAAACCCAAAACAAAAAAAGAAAGAAAAAATGTTGATGTAGAAATTGGATAAAAAAAAATGAAGCAGGTTAAGTCACATATGTTCTATATTTAGAACATTTGACAATGTAGTGGGAAAGGAAGACATCTACAGAGACAAAGCCAGGACCAAAGTTCATACAAGGACAGTTGTGTATAAAAGAGGATTCAACACGACGTCGATTTTGAAAGTTTGATGTAGGGTAGATAGTTTTCGCAGATCAGTCAATAGGATGACTGTGATCTCTAGCATGACAAAAACGAGCATTTGTTGGTGTCGACAATCCTAAAACTTCTTTTGTGCTCATTGAGTCTATCAGGAAGAGAACGGCCAGTTTCTCCAGAGTACTGAAGAGGATAAGAGGAACATGAAACAGAGTAGTCACCAGAGGCATCTATAGCGCGAGGGGATGAACGAACAAGGTTACTGGGAAGAGTGTCAGTCTGGCGAGAAGCAAGTTTCAGGTCTAAGGAACGGAGAGTTGTTGAGATTAGAAAGACTGGAAATATAGGGAAGGCAGAGAACAGATTTCACAAGAGTAGAGGGTGTGAGAGAGCAGAAATTCCATTTATCATTTGAGAAAACAGAGTTTATGAAATAGAAAGGGTAGACTGTGTTTCGCTAGAGTATTTTTTACTTTCTGAGAAATTGATCTCTAACTCCTGAAACACTTTGTGGTGTAGACATTTAAATCCTACAGAAGGAGATGAATTTCAGCTCCTTGGCCATTCGAGTATTTTGAGGAACACTCAGAAGGCCAGTTTATTGTGCAATGATGCACGGGAGGCTGTGATTATTGGAGACGGGGAATAATACCTCTCTCAAACTAAGCAGTGACTCATATAATCTAGTTTTCAATATCTTCTAAAAACAGAACAATTTTATTTTGTGATCTTTTCCAATAATATACTTGCTAACCTCTGGTTCTCCCTGGTGATAATAGTAAATGTTTCTTCTATGCAGTAAACTTTAATGAGAAGTCATAACCAATTTATCATCAACCTTTCTCACGTACCCTCGTTTCCTCGTATGATCAAATTATCGAAAGTATAACATCCTCGAAGCAGCACTGCATGATCCTTGTGGGTTTAGCGCTTGGTTTTGATTATGAGAGTAATAACAGCATCCTGGTTCGTCACTCAGGTAGGTGACGACAGTAGGTGATTACCTGGATTACTGCACATCACAAAATTTGTAAATGATTAAGCGACGCCTCGATGTAATAAAAAAATGACAGTTATATTGCTAGCTACATTTTTTGGTTCAATATCTGACAAACTAAATATGATTTGGTTATTTCTGTGGTAAAAATAGAGATCCATATGCAGGAATATAGCAGAATTTAATTTTACTCGCTGCCAGGATTAATAACAAATATTACATCAATAGATCTCGTTTAAAGGACATGTCAGAACTTTAATATGTTTTATATTATTGAGTGAATTTTTATATTCTATCCAATTCCCTCGATAGTCAAAATTCTTTGGATTCGGTTGAGGGAACGCAACCGAACATTTGGATGACAATGATCTACTTGGAGTCAACCTAGAGGGTGCTTTGGGGGTGAACGCCCCCGCGGCCGGTCCATGACCAGGCCTCGAGGTGGATCAGGGCCTGATCAGCCAGGTTCTAATTGCCGGCCGCACTCAATCCAATGTATGAAACAAAGCTCAGCTGGTCAGGCAATAACTTAGGTGTCTGTCCAGATCTCTCTTGAAGAGGCCTAGGAGTCTGTTGGTAATCCCCCTTATGTATGCTGGGAGTTAGTTGAATAGTCTTGGGCCTTTTACAACTACTCTGTTATCTCTTAGTGTAGTTATGACACCTCTACTTTTCATTGAGAGGGATGTTGCACCCCCTGCTAAGTCTTTTACTTTCGTAGGATTTTCCAGGTGTAAATTATTATGTATCTTTCTAGATTGAGTTCAGAGGATTACAGGTGAAGGTACTTCAAATGCTTCCAGCAATTTAGAAGCTTGACTGTACTTTTACGTGCAGTGAAAATTCTCTGTATATTCTCCAGATCTGCAGTTTCCTCTACCATGAATGAGGCCGTAAGTGTGCCACAGTATTTCAGTCACATTCCAACTTGATGACACAGTGAAAGTTTTACCTTCCTAGTGGATGACAACAGTGAAAATTTTACCTTCCTAGTGGATGACAAAATGAGAGTTTTACCTTCCTAGTGGATAACACAGTGAAAGTTTTACCTTCCTAATGGATGACACAGTGTGTTACTTACCTGCTGGATGACTGTCACCTACTTGCAAGATGACGCCATTGAAGATGATAGTGTTACCTACCTGCTGAATGACACAGATGAGGGTGATAGTGTCACCTTCCTGCACGTGCAGTTCCTGAGAACCAAGAATGGCAGCACGTGGCGTGTTGACGTTAAGGTTGACGAACTGAGACAGCACTCCCGTTCCCGTGTACATCTGGTGACAGAAAGGGTGAATATATTTTAATACATCTTCATAGTTGTTGAAATAAGCTTGAGTGTCAATCATGGCGATTTCTATATTATATTTAATGAATGCCGTTGCTTACTTCCCAGTAATTGGTAAAGACTAAGATTTTTATTTATTATAATTAAACAGAGAACAATGAAAACCAGGTTTAGATCAATCTTGGATACTTTGTTTATTTGCACCAAGCACTTGATTCTCTTGTCACCGATGAACGGATGGCTCAGGTGAGCCATAGAAGTGACGAAACAGAAAAAAGGTGAGTTGGTACACTAAGGCATCTGTCAAGACAAAGAGCTTTATCCATGGAGGTGAAAAGAGGAACATTTCAGAGTATAATGGAGCAAGCACTGTTGTACTACTGGGAGGAGACTGGAGGTAGTGAATATGTCGTGTGTGAGGGAAATGTGTGAATTTGGTACTGGGAACTCGGAGTTTGGAGATAAAGAGGAGGTGTGGAGTTATTCACAGGACTGATAAAGGGTTGTAGAGAGAGTTTCGACATTCAGAGAGAATGAAGCAAAATAGGATGACTAGGAAGGTGTATAAATCTGGGGTGGAAGGAAGGAGGGAGACGAGTAGTCCAGGGAAAGGTTAGAGGGAGGGAGTAAAGGAAGATCTGAGTGCGAGGGGGTTGGACATCCAACAAGTTTGTGTGAACTTGTAGGATAGGAGTAGAAGCAGGCGATTTTTATATTTTGACGTGCTGTTGGAGTGTAAGCTAGGCAACATTTATGAAGAGATTCAGGGAAACCGGTTAGGCGGACATGAGTCCTGCAGGCGAAAAGTACAGTGCCTGGACTTTGAAGGATGGTAGTGATATTGTGGTTTGCAGAGTCATCCAATATATGATGTAAATACACTTCTGGCAAGACGGTGATTAAGTGACAATGAAAGAGTTTCTTACTTTGTCAGGTCACCCAACCTTGGCAGTAAACAACGGGAAATAAGAACATAAGAAAAAAGGAACACTGCAACAGGCCTACTGACCCATACGGAGCAGGTCAATGTCCCCTCCCGGATTAGCCCAGTAACCCCCATCCGGATTAGCCCAATGACCCACCCAGTCTGGCCACCTTCACTCAGGGAAGGAACACGGCACCAGATCCAGCAGCACAAGCTAGTCAGGTCCAACTCACACCCACCCACACCCACTCATGTATTTATCTAGCCTATTTTTAAAACTACACAACGTTTTAGCCTGAACAACTGTACTCGGGAGTTTGTTCCACTCATCCACGAATCTATTACCAAACCAGTGCTTTCCTATATCCTTCCTGAAGCTGAATTTTTTCAACTTGAAACCATTGCTGCGAGTCCTGTCTTGGCTGGAAATTTTCAGCACGTATTTGCATCTCCTTTATTTATTCCTGCTTTCCATTTATACACCTCGATCATATCATCCCTAATTCTACGCGTTTCGAGAGAGTGCAGATTCAGGACACTCAGTCTATCCTCATAGGGAAGATTTCTGATATATGGGATCATCTTTGTCATCCTCCTCTGTATGATTTCCAAAGCATTTATATCAATTCTGTAATACGGTGACCAGAACTGAGCAGCATAGTCTAAATGACGCCTAACCAAGGATACATACAGTTGAACAACCTGAGGACTTCTATTATTTATACTTCTAGATATGAAGCAAATAATTCTGTTAGCTTTATTGCGAACACTAATGCACTGTTGTCTTGGTTTTAGATTACTGCTAACCAGAACTCCTAAATCGCAATCAGTAGTATTAAGATCTACATTATTTAGTTTATATGTGGCATGGTTATTTACCTGTCCAACGTTTAGAAGTTTGCATTTGTCAATATTAAACTGCATCTGCCACTTCTCCGACCATTGCATCAGTCTATTCAAATCATCCTGGAGTGCTCTAGTGTCCTCATTAGAATGAATTGGACGGCCTATTTTGGTGTCATCAGCAAATTTGCTTATGTCGCTATTTATTCCCTCATCTATGTCGTATATGTAAATTGTGAACAACAATGGGCCCAACATTGACCCCTGAGGAACACCGCTTCTGACGTGCCCCCATTCTGATTTCTCCCCATTTATGCAAACTCTCTGCTGCCTATTTGTCAGCCATGCCTCTAACCAGGAAAAAATTTCTCCTATTCCGTGTGCCTTAAGTTTCCTCAATAGCCTCTGGTGTGGAACTCTATCGAAAGCCTTACTGAAGTCCATATACACAATATCATATTCATTACCATGATCTACCTCCTCAAACACCTTACTGAAAAAAGTTAGTAAACTCGTAAGACAGGAACGATCTTTGTAAAACCGTGTTTAGATTCGTTAATCAATCTGTGCCTGTCAAGATGGCTACGGTTCAGGATTGCTTTTTAGAACAGGTTGTGACAGAACCAACTAGAGGAAACAATCTGCTTGACTTGGTTCTTGCCAACAAAGATTCACTAATTAATAATCTTGAGGTTAATGATGAGCTTGGGGAAAGTGATCACGAATCACTTAGTTTCAATATATCATGGAATTACCCAGATAACTGCAATCAAATCTCTGTCACAGATTTTCGCTTGGCCGACTTCATGGGACTGAAAAATTACTTGGGTGGGCTAAATAGGGATGTCCTGACTATGGGTCAGGTAGGTGATCTTGGTTGCCAATATGACGTTTTTCAGAGCATAGTTCTAGCTGCCCAGACAACTTTTGTTCTGAGTAGGGAAATTAGATCTTACAAAAATGATCCCAAATGAATGAATGAAAGATTAAAACACCTCAAAGAGAGGCATATATAGGCGTATCAAAAGAGGGGATGGGCTGTTAAGAAATCAATATATTCAATTAAAGAGAGAAATAAAAAAAGGAATAAGAAAAGCAAAAAGAGATTATGAGGCTAAGGTCGCAAGGGATTCAAAGACTAACCCAAAAGGGTTCTTTCAGGTATACAGAAGTAAGATTAGGGACAAGATTGGCCCACTTAAGAGTAACTCTGGTCAGATCACTGACAGTGATAAGGATATGTGTGAAATTCTAAATACCTACTTCCTCTCAGTTTTCACCCTGGAAAATACTAGCGATATTCCTGAAATAATATATTACGTAGAACAGGATGATAATAAACTATGTACGATTGCGGTAACTAGTGACATGGTCCTCAGACAAATAGAGAAACTAAAACCTAACAAATCCCCAGGTCCTGATGAACTGTTTGCAAGGGTGTTAAAGGAATGTAAAGAGCAACTTAGCATACCTTTGGCTAATCTTTTTAACATATCACTACAAACTGGCATAGTGCCTGATAAGTGGAAAATGGCAAATGTAATACCTATTTACAATGCAGGTGACAGGTTCTTGGCTTCGAACTATAGACCAATAAGCCTTACCTCCATAGTGGGAAAATTTATGGAATCAATAATTGCCGAAGCAATTCGTAGCCATCTTGATAGGCACAGATTGATTAATGATTCTCAACACGGTTTTACAAAGGGGCATTCCTGTCTTACGAATTTACTAACTTTTTTCAATAATGTGTTTGAGGAGGTAGATCATGGTAATGAATATGATATTGTGTATATGAACTTCAGTAAGGCTTTCGATAGAGTTCCACACCAGAGGCTATTGAGGAAACTTAAGGCACACGGAAAAGGAGGAGAATTTTTTTCCTGGGTAGAGGCATGGCTGACAAATAGACAGCAGAGAGTTTACATAAATGGGGAGAAATCAGAATGGGGGCACGTCACAAGCGGTGTTCCTCAGGGGTCAGTGTTGGGCGCGTTGTTGTTCACAATTTACATTAACGACATAGATGAGGGAATAAATAGCGACATAAGCAAATTTGCTGATAACACCAAAATAGGCCGTCCAATTCATTCTAATGAGGACACTAGAGCACTCCAGGTTGGTTTGAATAGAATGACGCAATGGTCGGAGAAGTGGCAGATGCAGTTTAATATTGACAAATGCAAAGTTCTAAATGTTGGACAGTTAAATAACTATGCCACATATAAACTAAATAATGTAGATCTTAATACTACCGATTGCGAAAAGGATTTAGGAGTTCTGGTTAGCAGTAACCTAAAACCAAGACAACAGTGCATTAGTGTTCGCAATAAAGCTAACAGAATTCTTGGCTTCATATCTAGAAGTATAAATAATAGAAGTCCTCAGGTTGTTCTTCAACTCTATATATCCTTGGTTAGGCCTCATTTAGACTATGCTGCTCAGTTCTGGTAACCGTATTACAGAATGGATATAAATGCTCTGGAAAACGTACAAAGGAGGATGATCCCATGTATCAGAAATCTTCCCTATGAGGATAGACTGAAGGCCCTGAATCTGCACTCTCTCGAAACGCGTAGAATTAGGGATGATATGATCGAGGTGTATAAATGGAAAACTGGAATAAATAAAGGGGATGTAAATAGTGTGCTGAAAATTTCCAGCCAAGACAGGACTCGCAGCAATGGTTTCAAGTTGGAAAAATTCAGATTCAGGAAGGATATAGGAAAGCACTGGTTGGTAATAGAGTTGTGGATGAGTGGAACAAGCTCCCGAGTACAGTTATTGAGGCTAAAACGTTGTGTAGTTTTAAAAATAGGTTAGATAAATACATAAGTGGGTGTGGGTGGGTGTGAGTTGGACCTGACTAGCTTGTGCTGCTGGGTCTGGTACAGTGCTCCATCCTTGAGTGAGGATGACCAGACTGGGTGGGTCATTGGTCTAATCCGGGGGGGGGGGGGGGAAGACAAGGACGTGCTCCGCATAGGTCAGGCGTGTTGCAGTGTTCCTTCTTTCTTATGTTCTTATGTTATACTGCCATATATTGTGGCAAAGATGTTTTCATTCGACAGATCTCACTTATTTCCATAAGCAGGCGTTTCAAAATGTATATTATTTAAGCTAGACGTTTCATTTATGAACATTAGAAAAGGTCATTTGCGACTTACCAAAACATCATAGCAAAAAGAGTCTATGACACATTAGTATGCACAATTCCTGGC